GATACATTCTACAAGACAACTGAACTAGCTCCTCAACAGAATTGCTCTGAAAAAGAATACCCATATGTAGGGAGGTGGTGGGTGTTCTAGATTTTAAGAGACTTACATATAAAAATTAACTGGTAAGCATGTCCCCTAACTAGATTCTGATTTGACAAAAAAACTACAGAAGGTAAGATTTGGACAAGGAATTTTAATATGAACTGGATATTAGATACTATTAAGGAAGTACTGTCTATTTTGATTAGGCTAATACAGAATAATATTACATTGATCTAAAACATCTATAGCATTTTTTCAATTTTTTTTAAAGATTTATTTATTTATTCTTCCAGAACTGGGGTACAGGCCAGAGATGCAGAGGGTGAGAGGATTCACCAGGGACAGAGTGGGGAACAGAACAGGCAGATCAATTAAGTACACTGCTGAGGGGAGCAGCAGGCGGGTCAGGAGAGGGCTGCAGCGGCAGGCTGGGATCGAACTCATGCGGAAGTGGCTTAAGCTTCTTAGTGCAGTGCTTTAACCCGCTGCGCCACCAGGGAGGGCCCTCTTTCAAATTTTTAAAAATTTCCACAAAAATGTTTAGTTATCAAAATGTCAGTATAGATATGTGCTAACAATAACAGTTTTTCTTGTTTTTATGCCTTACTTATTTGTATTTTGTAATTTTTCATAAAAAGTAAAAGTAAAAAAATATAAGGAAATAAAAACAATCAAATAAAATATATACACAGAAACAATATAATGGAAATTAATACAAGAGCAGGTTCTTAGATATGTAGTAAAATACCTAATCAAGGAAAATGGACACTGAAAAATAACTAGAATATTCAGAATACTTTAAGATTTTTCAGACTATTTCACATCATGCTAATAACAAAAAAAAAATCTGGTTTCAGGCACAACTGAAACTGTCTTAGGAACTAGGCATGGTTAATAACCACAAAGATGTCAAGAAAGTTGTCTAAGAGTAAGTCGTTGCTTCTGTGATTGTTTCAGCTGTCAGTTGACACTGTCATATCTAGTTTTCTCAGTTTTCAGTTTTTACATAGCAGTCTCTATGCTTATTTGAATGTTATTGCAGTTTGTCTTTATCATTTTACAAAACAAGAAGCTTATGGGAAACTGGAATTTTTAGCCCCAGCAACACACTTTATGAACATTCCAAACTTAGTAGAAAGGTGAAAATATTTAGATATTAAATGTCATTGCTTTAATCACAGTAAAACACCCCATAAAGGTAAACAGTAGGAGCAGTTAATAGCTACCACCTTTGAAAGTAGATTCATTCCTTCACACCATGAACCTGCCATTTTTACAATGTCTTTACTCCTTATTCAGCTCATAGTCTATGATCTATCATTGTACATGTTCCCCTGACTACATCCTTATTAGCGCTCTTGTTTTTTCTCTCTCTCACTTTCAACTAGAAAAGCTCAGTCCTAGCTAAGCCCACGTTCCTGCCTATTTCACAGCTGAGACATGGAGTCAACAAAAGCTGGAGAAAACCCATAATCATTAAAAATACAAATGAACTCTATTTTAAAGTTATGTCCAATAACCACTAACCTTACATGGGTTTTTGATATGAACCAAAATCCTAACTTATTTACATACTGCTTTTTCCCCCTGTCTCATACATTCTCCTTTTTAAAAAAAAGTTTCCAGATTGGGCCCTCCCTGGTGGCCCAACAGGTTCAAGTGCAGCACTATGAAGCTATTGCAGCCACTGAAGCATGAGTTCAATCCCAGGCCAGGGAGGTGACCCACATGGCAAGGCAGACCTCTCCCAAACTGCCCCTGCTCTCCTCAGTAGTGTGATTTCGGTACATCTGCCTGTTCAGCTCCCCACTCTGCTCCCTCTGCACCTCTGGCCTGTACCCCAGTTCTTGTATGCATAAATAAATGTATCTTTAAAAAAAAAATCTCCAAACCTCCTCTTCTACTATCACTCATTTGATGAACTGGCTTTAAATTTCACTATGAAAAAAAGCTTAGAAAGATGAGAAATGTCACCATTTTCCTCTTCTCCGCCTACTCACCTATATCTGTACCTCTATGTTGCTCCAGTTTGAAAGAATAAACTATTTGTACTAACGACTGGCTCTCCGTTGCACTTTCAATCTCAATCCCCTCTCCCACTCAAGAAAATCACTCCAGCAACTGTCTTCCTCACTCCTACTATTTTTCCTTTTCTACTACACCATTTCCATCAACACATAAACACACCATAATTTCTTTCCCTTGGCTATTGCTTCCCTTTTCAGCTCCCATTTATAGGGAACTATCTCAAAAACGGTTTATGCTTGCTGTCTCCACTTCTTCTTTCATTCTCCTTTGAATACACCCACTTAGCTTTTCTCTTCTATGAGTCCACTGAATCTATTCCTGTTAACTTCACTCATGGCTTCTGTGTTGCAAAATCATCGTGTTTTGTGGTCATCTTATTGCCCATTCTACCATGTGCACCACTTAACACACCTGATACTCTCTTTCTTGAAACATTTTCTCTTACTTCTAGGGCAAAACTCTCTCGTGATTCTCTTATTTCCCTCCTTTAAAGTGCCCTTTGCCTTTCTTTCTACTCTTCCCAATTCCTTTCCTACTCCAGGGCTCAGTTCTCTTCTCATTTCTAATTATTTTCACTCTGATGCTATCTCATTTAGTCTCATGGCTGAGAATAATCACCTTTTTGTTGAATGCTCCCATTTTAATCTCTAGCTCTGAAATTTCATACTCACTTACCCTTCTGCCTATTCTACCTCTCAACTTGGATGTCTGTTCTCTATCTCCAACCAATTGTGTCCAAAAACCATATTTCTGATTTTCTGCTCCTTCTCTCATCATCTTCCCAGTTATTCAGGTCAAACCAGACTTGAGTCACCCTGAATGTTCACATTCTCTCATCAGCCATGTTTGACCCAATATTAAATACTTTTGTCCTGCCTTGTTCATGACCTCTGCTGTTAACATTCCAGTCTGAACCATCATCATTTCTACCCTCAGTTATTGGAACTGACTCTCAGCTTAATCCTAGCCTCTCTACTTTTGTTGTCATCACAGCTGCCAAAATGAATGACACTTCAAGGAGATAAAACAGATCATGTTACTTTTCAACTTAAAACTTTCCAATGACTTCTCATTTTCTCACAAATCAAAGTCCTTATGATAGTTGACAAGGTCTTACACGAGGAATGTCCTGTTATATTTCTTCTTTCCTCTTAGTCTCTAGTTCTCCCTCCCTCTGTATTTCCAATCCAGCATGTACATGTAAAGCATACCAGAACTATACTGCTTGTACTGTTAACTAGACCTTAAATAGAGAATAGAGAATACTTTACTTCCAAAATATCAACAATATGTATGTCAACTCTACCTCAATAAAGAAAAAAATTTAAAACAACATGGGGAAATAAAGGATTTTTTTTTTTTTTGGTTTTGTTTTACTTCTACCTCATTGTATGCTCACATTATTTCTGAGAGCAGAACATTACTTTAATAGGTAAATAAATCTTTATACTTTTACACATTTTAATGGCCTTTTTCTTATATAATATCAGCTCCTAAAGTGTAGATGAACACAAAAGTTGTTCTCTTACTGACAGTTTTTCAAACCAGACTAGGCAATAAATGCTATAGAGATAACTAGTTAGCAATATGGAAAGGGCAGAAAAGCTAAGTATTTATAGTCCTTTCCTCAAAGACAAATCTTTTGCAGGCCTTCCTAACTAACAGGTGTTAGTCTCAGTGCTATCACCAGCCACTGTGCAGGAGTCGGATCCCAGGCCAGGAAGCTGACCCATATGGTTCTGCTCCTCACTGAGTCTCTGGTGAATCCTCTCACCTCCTCACCTCTGGCCAACACCCCAATTCTTACAGGCATACAAAATAAAAATAAATTAAAAAAAACAGTCATTTGCAAAGAGAAAATTCAATATAAAATATAATTTAATAAGAACTATATAAGGAAATATGATGAATATTGTATATTATTAATTTAGTAGTTTAGAAAGCCAAACAGCCAATCAAATCAGATAGTATTAAGGAGAAAGTAACAGATCTGTCTTGAAAAAAATTCAAAACTTTAATACTATTTTTAAAAGTACTATAATTAGAGTTAGAATATATTTCAAAAGATGAAAATACATTTATCTATTTGAGACAGGTTAACATCATAACTATTCAAATTACAAAATTATCCTCACAAATAATTACCTCAATAGAAAAAAATGGGCAAAGCACCAGAGCATGTAATTCACAGAAAAAATGAAAACTAACATATAAATTGTACTTAACCTCTAACCTAATCATAGGATGAAAAGAAAAACAATGTGTTGCATTTAAAGTTATTCATTAAAAGGATGACATTATTCAACAAGCAGCCACACATCTGGAGGGGTTGGTTGTTAATTGGTCCTATGTATTTCTGAATTCAGTTTAAAAACAAAAAATTTTAAAGTGCATAGTTTTCATCCAGATTTTCCAGCATTAGGTATTTATCTAAGGATACAGTTAGACCAATTTGAAAAACTATATATACGAATTTCCACTGTAGTGTAATTGGTGATTATACAATAGCCTAAATTTAACAATTAATTTAACATAGTTTTGTTTAAATTAATTTTTGGTACATTCATACAGTGGCATTCACAGAAGTACCAAAAATGTTCCATAATAGGTCATTAAATGGAAAGGAAAAAAAACCCTTAAGACTCAAATTTATTGTGTATAAGTCCCATTTCTAGTTACGATTTCAAATGTCTTGTGTAAATGGTGATCAGGAGACCATTCAAAGATGAATGTTCTGTTTGATATATTCTACAGATAGTCAAAATTGTAAGAGAGTCTATATTTTTGGTAAATTCAATTAAACTACATGGTGGTAGTATTTTATTCCACTTTGGCTAAACTATATAAAGTATAGTAACAGAATTTAAAAAAAAAAATTCAGAAACCTTTTCCAAATACAATAAACTCAAACTACAAAGTAAAATGATTACCTATCTCCCTTTGGTTTTCTTTTTTGTAGTGTCTTCCCTTTGGGTCTTCTTTCGCTTCCTAAACAGGGACTCCCACCAGGTCCTGTTACCCGTATTGATTCAAGGCCTTTGGAAGATTTTTTAAATGTGAATTCCACTGGTTCTCCTTCTTTTAGGCTTCTAAATCCTTCCATGAATAATTTGCTCTGTAAAGAGCAGAGAGAGGGAGAGAGAAAGAAAATCATGATTATCAACGTTTTTATAAATTATCTCTATAATTTTATGATTAACATAGCAAGATATTCTGTTATCCATTACAAAGTATCAAATCTTTGTATTTTAAGTTCAGTGATTTTTATGCCATTTTAAATTTCCTGCTGCAATGCTGGCCGAGGGAGAATAAACTACTACCATTTTTAAAGGTAATTTAGCAATATTTAAAAAATGTTAATATACATATTCTTTGATCCAGCAATTCTACTATAATGTCTCCTCTACAGACACATTACACAAAGGGTTAAAAAAAATTATAGTAGAGCTATATATTGTATATTATAACATTTTGAATCATTAAAAGACCTATATGTATTAATGTAGAAAAAACATTTATAGTGTTGTTAAAAATTTAAGGAAAACAGAGTTCCCACCAAAATGCCATGTAGGGAAAGGATTTTTTAAAAGTTATGTTTGTTTATATACAGCTGGGTCTGGAATAACAGAGGGTAAATTATAAACTGTACTCTTTGCAATTTTCACAATTTGAAACAGATTCTCAAAATCTAAAAGATAGTTAATTTGGGGGAGGGGGAGTTTTCCTGATTGCAAAAGTGCAACCTAGGTTACAAATATTAATAACTGTTAACTGGTTCTATTAATCTTACTCTTCTCATCAGTCAATGTATCAATTTAAAATATATGAAAATTAATTTAATAATTGGCTTATAATTATTTTTAAAACCACCTGTGTACATTTTGCAGATAGAATTTGAAATATCATGTAGTTTTAAAAGATTTTAGCAACTATGGGGCTAAAAGGAGCAAAAAATACATGGTTGAACATCTTGCTCAACTACAGTTCTTTAAATACAATGCAGCTTTGAATGAATGGTTTTATCTCTTTTTTTTTTTAATCTGTAAATTTAAGGGATTTGCATCTGTTTTATGCACTTTCTGAGGAGGAACAGTGTTTCTGGGAAAAGGCTCAGGGTGGTCAAGCAAGCTTGTAAAATGCTGTATACCTTTTCTACTCAGCTGAATCAGATTAGCATATAAAAGTTTTCCAAGTTCAGGACTTACCTTTACTCCCTGCCCCCACCAAAATAAAAATCGTGTTTAATTGTGTTTAACTCAGCAATTTCCTGACCTAATTGAGACCAGAGTCCTTTCTTTACTGGCTTACTTGAGGAAATACCGGACCAGAAAATCTTTACTCTTCCTGAGCCTATGATTCTAATGGCAGTTAAATAATTACCTATAAGCAAATTGTTATATGAAACAAACAATTAAGAAAAAAAAAACACTTCTAAATCCAGTGCCAAAAGAGAAATTCTTTATGAAAGTAATAAGACACGTGGGGGTTTTAATCTGTTCCCAGCACAGTCTCTCAGCCACTGCAGAATCCTCACACAGAAGTTGCCCTTTGGCAGCGCCATTTCTCCTGTCTGGTTCTCTGCAGAAATCAGGGGGAAATCACGACTGCACACACTCTTTAAAATTAAAAAAAAAAAAAAAAAAAAAAAAATGTTCTTTGAGCTTTTTTTCCCTTATATTTTCAACCTTCTATTTTTTTCCCTATACTTTCTCCTCACTAATAAAATGGATCTTTTGCTTTCATTACTTCTCGCCCTCTCCATTCAAGAAAGTGCAGATTATCAAAGCAAATGCAGTGGATAAGAGAAAAGGGTGAGCTGCTTTAATTAGAGCTATAACAACTTCATGTTTTGTCTTCATAATAAAATTTCTATCACTTCTGGCCCTCCCTGGTGGCGCAGCGGGTTAAAGCACTGCACAAAGAAGCTTAAGCCACTTCCGCATGAGTTCGATCCCCCCCTGCCCCGAGGAGTCCACACGGTGTGGCAGACCTCTCCTGACCCGCCCGCTGCTCCCCTCGGCAGTGTACTTCATCGATCTGCCTGTTCTGCTCCCCACTCTGTTCCTGTGAATCCTCTCACCCTCCGCATCTCTGGCCTGTACCCCAGTTCTGTATCAATAAATAAATAAATCTTTAATAATAAAAAAAATTCTATCACTTCTTTATTTCTTTTTCTTTTTTTTTTTAAGATTTAATTATTTGTTCATACAGAACTGGGGTACAGGCTAGAGGTTCAGGGGCGGCAAGAGGCTTCACCAGAGACAGAGTGGGGAGCAGAACAGGCAGATCGACGAAGTACACTGCTGAGGAGAGCAGCGGGTGGGTCAGGAGAGGTCTGCCACACAGTGTGGTCACCTCTGGGGCAGGCGGAATCGAACTCATGCGGAAGTGGCTTTAGCTTCTCAGTGCTGTGCTTTAACCCGCTGCGCCACTTCTTTATTTCTTCTCAGTTCCTATGTACAGGTATACTTCTACCAATTTAATTTCACTATAACTTCTGATAGTTATCATTTATGAATGATCATTTAGATTTGGTCTAAATGATCCTTCCAAGTCTAAAGTAAACTTCTGACTCTATGGGACACTAAGTTGTGGCCATTCTTCATAAAATCCAGAAACAATGCTTTCCTTTTTATTTGGTCATTTATTTCACCTTCTTAAAATTAGTACGTAAAGCAATTAAAATTTATAATACTTGAGAAAAGATAATATCTCAAAAAAACTATAATGCCCTTGTAAGGAAAAGGTAAGGATTACAGAGAATATTCTCTTTGCTATTACATCAAAATCACTGCTACCTAATGGGAAAGATTTGCTGAACTGAAAATTAGCTCATTATATTTCTTCACAAAAACAACTTCTCTTTGTGACCTGACAATTTCTATTAAAGGTGTCTATTTTTCTAACCACACTGGTTGCAATCCTAAATTTTATTCAAAACACTATCACGTCATGTCTATTTTTTACTTCATAATTTCTTGCATCTGTTCCAAACATTTTACATAAGAATTGCTATCCTGCTTTAGATCCTACCTATCTCTTAACTGGTTATTTTGGTTAGTATAAAGTTTCTTCATTGAAACTTCTTCAGCATCAAGTCTCTTCCCTACTACACACATACTCCATATTTGCATGTTCTCTCAGAACAAATCTTAGCCTGTTAGTCCTGTAAGTATTCTCTCTCAAAAATCTACAATACAATCATATGATCCAGAAATTCCACTCCTAGGCATCCATCCAAAGCTGCAAAAAACACTAATTTGAAGGGGCACATGAGCACTGATGTGCACTACAGTACTATTTATAACAGCCAAGTTATAGAAACAATGTATAATGAAGGGATTAAGAAAGTGGTAGAGCACCTGCTGATGGTTTAGGGGTTAGGTTAGCACTACCATCCCAACAGCCTGAATTCAATCCTAGCCCACATAGAGCACAGCAGACCTCTCTCCTGTATTGCCTGCTTCTCCCCTTAGCAGTGTATTTCAGTAAAATCTGCCTATTCTACTCCCTACTCTTTCTCTGATAAATTCTCTTACCCTCTACACTTCTGGCTTGCACCCCAGTTCTTCAATGCAAACGTTAAAAAATAATAAAATAAAATTTAAAAAAAGGTATGTGGTATACACACATCACACTCATACAGAGTGGAATACTACTCAGTCCAAAAAGTGTGTGTGTGTGTGTGTGTGTATAAAGTAACTCAGACAAATAATGCATAATTTTAGCCATGTGTAGAATATAAAGAAACAAAGTAAAGGTATAGAATAGACTGTTTCAAAACAAACCCTCTACATCTGACTGCAGAACTGAGGCTCCCAGAGAGGGAGGGTAAGGGTAGCAGACAAAGGGAGGGGACGTTGGTGCTTTGGAGATGGGCATGTGCTTCCATACATTTGAAAATGAGTGCACCTATGTCCTTAAACAAAGTGTTGTAAATAATATTATCTCAATAAAATAAAAATATTAAAATAAGTGTTTAATAAAAATATTAAATATGTACCAAAAATTTTAAATCTTCAATACCATTCTATGTTGTAGGTGAGCCCTTTCATAATCCTACCTCTGGTTGTATTTTCTACGTCCTTTCAATCACAGCAAACACAACTTTACCATTAGTGAAACTGGCTGACTCTACTTCCCTAAACACACTTTACACTTTTTCATCTTTGTACTCCAGCTCATGCTGGTGGGGCTGCACTCTCCTCTTCACAACTGTTTATCAAATCACCCTCCAGATTCAATACACAATAAGAATGATTCTTTATGCATCATCCTCAGCTTACCAAACTGGAAATATCTTTCATTCAGTTGATTCTTTCATATAAATTTTACAAAACACTGCTGGGTAACACAAATATCTGTGTAAGCTTTATTATTTATTTGCATTTTGGATTTACCTTCTTTTAAAATACAGGGATTACAATATGTATCTTAGTATTACTCAAGTGCTCAGCATAATGGCTAACAATAATTATAATTCAACGAGTTCTTAAAAAATTCCTTAAGGATTATTTAGTCTACTTTCTCTTGAAAAGAAAGTGAACTGAACTGTAAGGAGTTAAATGCAAAGTGAAATCTTCCAGCTTCTATTTCTCAAATTTTTAGAGTGAAAATGACACGATTTGTGATACATTTAGAATAAAATGGATTATAATGGTTCATGGAGATGACACTAGTCTGACAATATTCAAAAGTTAATATGGATCTCTTTTCCTTGTTCTTCCTCATTTTACCCATATTCTCTATTCATCTCCACTGAAAAACCTCACAATCTATGTTCTGCTTATTCAAACCAGTAATGCAGATTTATATAGATTTTTCTTTATAAGTAAGAGTAAGATGTATGTAAAGTAGGACGTCTGGTGTTGGTCTATATTGTCCTCTGTGTCATTTGTTTGAACAAAATAGAGATTTATTCTCTATAGAAGATAATCACATTATACAATGAATAAATGAAAAAAAAAAGGAATGACCAAATGAATGAACAGGCATTTAGAAGTTGCTGACATCCCTATTAAGATATCAAGCACTTAACAATGGGCCAGGCTAATTGTGAATTTGTGCACAGTTAACTCATCTAACACATGACTTGTGTCCCTTTCCTCCAATCAA